TGAGGAAAACAAAACAAACAAACAAAACAGGTGGTTTCCCAGAAAACAAAGTGAAGACAGCTATTGTGTGCATTTTGTTAGAGAGCATTATGTTTGTTTTTTCAAACAAGTATTGTGTTAAGAAACTGGATTATTTGCCTGATTCTGCTAAAGTGTGTGTATTAAATACACAAAAAGCTATACAAAGATGAAAGACCAAGGTCAACATTTTAATTGCACAAGTCAGAGAAGACTCCAGCAGCAACCTTGTTCTACCCTGTAGCAATAAACCTAAAAAACTAAGAGCCAAGGAGACCAGGATATTTATATCAAGATATTATAACAAAAGGAACACGCACACAGCTACATCCATTATATGGCACCCTAGGATTCACTTGTAAACAAGGCTGACTGTTTTCTAACTGCAGTCACTAACCCTCAGAAATTCTAACTCACTGCCTAAGAGCCCCCCCATTTTCTAAATGCCTCCCTCGGGTTTCACCCTTTTATACAAGCCTTTCCCAGAATGCTCGGCAAATTGGCACTTTAAATTGGGGAGAGAGTAACAGGTGCAGCTATTAGAGGGTCATTTGGCTTCTAACTGCTGCAGGTTGCACCTCACTCTCTGCCAGGTAATAAGATATTTTGAGGCTTTTTGTTGTTGTTGTTGTTGCTTTTCTTAGCTTTCTCCTCTTAAAACATGGCAAGTTCTCACAGCCCCCTTGTGTATATGTATTGCCACATACTGCAAAGTATTTACGATAGCCAACAGCTCCAGCAAAATTGCTGCTATGTATTTCATTGGGGGGCTGCCATCTAAGATGTCAACAAGATTTCCTCGTAACTGGTTCACTCTCTCCGAAGGGATACAGCTGAAATGTCCTCTCCCCTTCCAGTAACAAGCTGGCTACTGCCTTTACTCATTTGCACTCTTGGCTACTTTACGCGCCATCTGAGGTAACGCTCTGATCCATTTTCCTGAAGGCAAAGACCTTCCTAAAGGTTTGAATCCACTCATCAGCCCATGACTGGATCCAAACCCCCAGTGTTTTTACTTTGACATGAAGGCCCTAATCCCGCAATTAGCGCTGCCCAGGCAGTGCTGTTTTGACTTCAATAGCTCACATCCAGCTGCTGGAAGCTCATTGCAGGATGGGAGCCCAAGTTTCCTCAGACAAGGCTAAGTACAAAGTGCACGTTTATTCAAGATGATTCAAATGCCAGGCTTGATCTTCTAAAGCAAAGCTTCTGTCAGGTTATCGGTGAGCAAGAAAACCCACCAAGAGCTGAAAATCACCTACTATTTCTTCTTCAGTTCACTCCTGGGCTGGGACAAGCATAAACATTTTTCAATCCAGCTGTAATATGTTTAGAAGTGACAAATTATTGGGCTTTTTTAAATTAGCACTTTGCATTTTCCAAGCACTAGCAGTAATTTACAACAAAAGTGACATTTCAACCTTAACTATGCTATTGCTACTGTGAAGCTACCATATACGCGCACAGAGATGCATAGAGTGAAGTCATTCACTATACAGTGAGCTATTGTAAATAGTGAGATTTGACAAGGTGCTTCATTTTCATTTGTGTCATAGTCTCATTGATAGCAATGTCCATTTAAGACATCTGTTAGAAGGCTGTAGCATTAAAGTAAATGGAAAAATTCCAAGGAGAACTCAGGGTTTGCTCTCTTTTTCCCATGAACATAACATTATGGAATTTTAACAGATGTTCTACTTGGTCATAGTTAATAAAATGAATTATGCAGGAATTAAAACTCTGGCTCAGTTTGCTTGTGTAGAGTCTCAGCAGAAGTAGTAAATTAAGAAATTCTGGAGACCTTATAATGGATATTTTCTCTTGCCTTGCTGTAAAGGTTGTTGGGGAGTTTTTGTGAACACATTTTTCGGTGTTGGGGAAAGTGATAATTCACATCCCCTCTCACTAGCATGATCTACTTTCTACAAAATAGCGTGCTACCCCCCTAGAAAGTGTCTCTCTCGCTTGGAAATGACATCATGAGAATTCCATGTCTTCTCACGGCCTTCTGTGTCCTGCCACTTATCCAGACAGGAAAGTCTCATTGAGCGATCATGTAGCCCAGCCCTCCTTGTGCCCTACCCCAGCAGCTCTCTTCCGGGGGCATGAGCGTGCGTCTTTCAGGCTGGTACTAGCAATGCTAGTGCATGTGTGGAGGAACAGACCCACAAATGCAATGCACCTAATCTCCCTTGGGTTCTGGGGTCAGCTCAAAGGCAGATAGAAGCAAAATGGAGGAAGATGTAGGTACCAATAGGAAATGGGGTTTGAGAGGGAAGAGACACTAAAAGGGGAATGAGAAATTTGTGGAAACCAAAGGGGAAGGGAGAGACACATGTACTAGCCATCTGCTCTGAGTTAGGAGAGAATCTTAAGTAGTGGCTCAGTTCTCCACTCTGCTCCGCCATTGAAGTTAATCAATATGGTAGGCCCTATTAAAAAAATAATAATCCAACACTGAAGCCCATATACTGAAACTCCCTTTCTTCTGTAACTAAAATGGCTTTGGCAAGCAAAAGCTGAAGCATGCAAAGAGATTCCATAAACAACAGATTCAGCTAGAATTAAATGTTGCTGTGTGCATACAATACAGGGAACACATGGAGGTATCTAATGAATTAACACAGGCTTTTATAGAAGCCCTTCTGCTGAAGGAAGGAAGAAATGTATTCTAAAAGTAGGTTGGGGGAGGGGAGGGGAGGGAACACCCAGCAAAAATTTCAGCTTTACATTTGCAGCAAAGAATTCAATGTGCTGCTTTTACTCAGACTATCAAATGGACACTTCACTGCAAAGAGCGATATTTAGTGTCACAAAATGTGATAGTCTTAACATTGTGTTAAAAGGATAGGGGTTGGTTTTTTTTTAAACAGATCACCTATTATTTGTTTCATTTTGAAGAGAAACCACATTTCATTAGGCAATAATTTTTCTCATTCTATTGGACAGATACTCCCAAAAAGCAATATTTCAACTGAAATCAGTTCTGAAGGATCATTTATGAATATACATAGTAGAAAGGACCCCAATTAAATTTCCGACAAAGTCCTGCTATTTTGGGTAAACAAAGTGATCTCGGAAGGGTCACACACTGAGCTAGGAGAAGGGCCTAGAAATTAATTACCGTCCTGACATATGTCAAAACAAATTTTAAAGAGACTTGCATCCAGTTGTAACCATGTGTTTTATCTGTTAGTATGCAAAATCTGTATTCTATGGCATCTAAATTTATTCATTTATTCAGAACCCCTCGGAGAAATCAAAAAGGCTCGTTGCCCTCTTTTGCCTGCCTCCAGATGAAATCGGAGGGAATAACATGTGTTTAGTGAGCCAGAAAATAAGTACAGGATGAAGCTGTGGTGGGGGTTATGTTTCAGAAAAGCAAGTGCCATCTTCACACAAATAACTAATTTTTGAAACATTTGGAGTGGCTAAAATAAACTCTGGCATTAACGTTTGTTGGTACTTAAAACAACACTATATTTGTGATTTCCTTACTTTATGTATAAGGTTTACACAATACATATATCTTTATCCCTGAATATAGTTTTGGGCATGAACAAAAGTTCTTTAAAGCAATGAATGCTGCGGAAAACAGGCTTTCAAATGCTAATTAGTTAGCATTACTATCAATGGTAATATAAATAATGAATATGTCTTTTCTAATGGTAAAAATCTATTCTGAGTTTTTTTAAAAGGCTAAGATCCAACCCTGATTGCTTAGCTAAGTGACATTTAAGAACAAAATACATGTGCCACACCTAACTAAACACAGTAGGTAAAGCACAATTCTGTACTATTATTTTCAGAGGAAACCAATCCTGTATCCTTCTCTAAAGTGTTCACAATGCAATTTCTACTTTTGCAAATGACAAGCCTGCACGAGAAGTTTAAACCCATATCACCACATTACAATCTAAGCAAAGTATTTTTGCTTAAATGTACTACTCAATACTTTTTAGAGTGCAAGGGAGTTCTAAGATTAAATCACAATATAACTGTTGGGAATCCTCCCAATACTAATATGTAGAGGGAATCCATATTCATCTTGCACTCTCCAAATGAGAGCGATAAGCAAGTCACAGACGAAGCATATTCAAAGACAAAAAAAATCACTACAACATAAATGCTTCGATCATACAATCAGATTCCCGAGGGCAGAGCTCCCACTGACTTCAGCAGGGCTTCACAAAGAATCCAATTACAGAATCAGGGCCAAAACCATAACTAATACCTAAAGAGAGCGACAACACTGAAATTGCATGCTGGCTCTGATCTTGCTCCCAATTAATTCAGCGGGAACAGACTGGGCCCACAAAATTCAACACAAGAATTTTTAATTCCTTTTAAAAGAAGTCTCCCTCTTTGACGAAGTCTCCCTCTTTGACAAAGTGTCGCAACAACACATTAAAGAAAGTGCAAATCCTGAGATTCACCAATATTTTTAACCTTTAAAAAATTTTTTTAGCTTAGTTGGGTAAAGTGTACTTTCAGTATTTATTCTTCCCTATGACAGAGTTCCTTGGATTTAGGGTCAAAGAAAGTTGCATTACATTTATACGTCTTGCTGTGAAAGGCTGTATGTATTTCTTACACAAAAACCGGGACTGAGAGCCAGATAGTGCTACCCTGTGTATAAACACTTACTGGATGCACGTCACAGAACGTACACAATTTTACCAATACTTTATTTTGTACTTCTTCATAATTGATACATTTCCATTCGATTACATCCACACAGCATCAAAACTAAGAGGACTGAGGCACAGATTAGTTGCCACTTACATATCATAGATGCTTATCCATGTTTTATCTAAGCTCCCATTACATACCCATAACTAGTTAACTTACCTAGAATGAAATATTTGTATTGAAAGTTTGCAGAGCATCTGTTTGACGCAGTTGTACCACGATTTCTTTTTCCCAACAAGATATGATACAGTGCAACAGAACAATTTCAAAACAGAAAACAAGTGTTTTACCTCTCTTAATACTGTGCTTTTATAACCTCGATAAAGTCCTTGAATACCCTGTAAAGCAACAAATGAAAGCTTCAGCTATAGAGACTTACATTAGCAGATACGACAATTTACTGATGTTTAATTACATGGCAGGTATTACAGCCTTAGTGAGAGCAAGACCTGAACTTCTAATGAATTGATCATGGGGGGAGGGATAGCTCAGTGGTTTGAGCATTGGCCTGCTAAACCCAGGGTTGTGAGTTCAATCCTTGAGGGGACCATTTGGGGATTTAGTGTGGGATTGGTCCTGCTTTGAGCAGGGGGTTGGACTAGATGACCTCCTGAGGTCCCTTCCAACCCTGATATTCTATGATTATAACACTGAACACTGTCTTCCAAGGTTTACCACACCCGTGGGTTTTATCTTCCTTTCAAAGCATGTTTAACCAGTGCTAAGAATAATGAGATATCCATACACCTCCAGTAGAAAACAGAAGAGCAGGAAGGCACAGAAATACATTATTTCATACTCTGACTACCTAATATTTGCCATGCGCAGCGGCAGAGCTAGAAGCCTCCACTCTTCCAAATGCATATGTAAGCAGAGTAGCAGGATATTCAGGTGAAATGGCCCACGTGAAATTGGCATCTAGGATGACTTGCTGGCCATATGGCTGGTTTCTTAATTGCTCTGGTTCAGAGTCACTGTTAGGAAAGACTTTTAAATGTTTTATTTGTAATCAGATGATAACATTTTTGCACTGCATGTATATCAGGGTTCAGTTCTCCCTTCAGTGCTTCTATGACAGTATCTCCAACACCGGTAGATCTTGTGGGTCAGGGATGGGATGGAAAAAGAAGAGGAGGAAAAGCAGACGTTATTTTCCCATAACTGGAGTTGTCTGAGAGCTGCAGCCTTGTAACGTCAGCCTAAAAAGTGTACTAGCCCAGCTATAAAATCTGCTCACCCAGGCTCACCAGAAGGATGACAAAGATGGAAAAATTAGAGCTAATTTTTTTTTAATGAGTGCTGGTTTTGGGTGCCTAACCTGACACCTGAAAGGGGCTTGATTTTAAGAAGTGTACAGAGCTCAACCTTAGAAAATCAGTATCTATCCCTTCCTCCCCCTTTACAGGTGTCTCAAGTTCAGCACCCAAAAGTCGGCAGATATTTTTTCAAAATGTAGGTCATAGTATTTAACACTCATGCAAAAGAAAAAATGACCCTGGGTGCCTAACCCACAAATTAAGTATTGCAAACTAATGCAAAAGGACTTTGCCTAAACGTATCCACTCAGCCTTTCCTCAACAGCCCCCC